ATAAAAATAAAATTTGTGTTTGACAAAAAAACCAAGTTTTATACTTTAATCAGTAGAGCTAGAATTAAATATGAAATAGTAATATTTTTTAATTTTAATTTTTTTAAATTTGCATTCTACTAAAAAAATAATTATAGCAAATAGCGATTACAAAAAATATTAATATTAAATTATAAATATTAATTACGAAATATACTATAAAACATGCATTTTTCGCATTCTTATAATCGAAATATGGATAATAATATTCATTTTATTCAATATATGCATTTATATGCATTTTATCCAAAATATGCAAAAACATGCAAAATAAAAACACCACCATTCATCTCATCATGAGGTGATTCGTGGACATTACTGACAAAATCAATAATCAGAAGTCGCAAAAAAAACATGCTGTTGCATACAAATCCTAGCCTTGCTAATGATTATGTATACGTTAATGATCATCATTGAACTGAACGTTGAATCAGATCAATGATCTTAAATTGTATTAGTAAAATCATARCTCGTATAAGGCTTGAGCTATATGCCTATATACGACGTTTTCCGCTAAAACTCAAGTTGGCCGACGTTTTAGGCGTCAAGCCACCGGGTCAAGGATTGAAACGCGACGTATTATACATCTGTCGTGTATAGGTAGCTACTTCAATATAAAACAATGAGTTTTGACTTCAACGGAAAACGCCGTGTATATAGCCCCGGGCCCCCGGACACCCCCGGCCTTATACAGTTGACTTTAACCGTATTTGTTGTCTTAATCTTAATCTTATAAATGTAAATACATAGTAGGTAAATTTACGCTCAGTAGTTCACGTTTTACTCCGTTATCGTAAAAATACTTCCAACAAAACACAAATAATATGTCCTTACCATCAAGTTTCATAAAAGGTCYATTCGCTCTAATTTTTAGGCTAACGGGGTAAAACGTAAACTACTAAACTGCTGAGCGTAAATTTGCTATATTATGCGTTTGTAAGACTGAGACAACAAATACGGCGTGACATCCTCTTAAAATACTCATAACT